GGTGACAACGTGACGGTAGAATAATGTGTGTGTAGGTAGTGAGTAATTGAACTGCAATCAGGAAGTATTGTTGAAGTTAACGTTCATTGCTAAAGTTGTTAAAACGTTTGTAAAAGAGCGACTGTTGAAAATAAGTGTATCAGTAAAGTTATATTCAGAAAGAGTAAACCGGTTTCATTAAGTAGGGACTTGTGTCGCTGAAGTTTCGTCGGGACGAATTTACGGGAAATCATTTAACAAACGGAGACGTAACACATGGAAAGAAAAGGCTCAGATAAAATCATTACTGTTTGTTGTCATGTCATCAATAATATTAAAACAGTTCGTGTATAAAATGTTTGTGGAATCTCTAAAACAATCATAGATTGAATTCATTATAGAAGCAATTTATTAGCAATAAGTATAGCAGTGACTAGTGCCAGTAGTATAAGTTACAAGAGTTTAAAAAACGGAAACGACCGTGGCGACCTCTGAAAATATTACGAAGAAACACGTCTGTTGGCATTTTTTAAGCAGAATTCATTTCTTTGCAAACTGAATGTGTTCTGAGCTTATATCAAATATAGACAATTACTCGAACTTTGTTCCGCGGGAGTAATGTAATATGTATATATATTATTACAGTGTGGTGTAAGCCTAATAGCACCCACCGCCAACTATTAGGCTATTCTAATAGAATTGTTGGATTTGACCGTTACTCTTATAATGCACCCACGGCCCAAAGTGCGGAGGGTAATTTTGTGGCGACGGTACGCTTACTGTAGACTAACGGATTCATAGTTCTGCAAGCTAACCTAAAGCTACGCCCGACCTTATTACAACAGTGAAGGATGACGGGTAATTTTTATCACGATGGCCTTTTACGTTAATATAAAAATATTATCACTTATAACATGCCTAATTCATATTTTATTTACTTTAATACAAAGATATATAAAATTGATTTTGTGAGAACTTTTCTCCTCTATAAAACTCATTATAATAGCTATGAAACTCAAATAAAAACTCTCATATTTTTTATTTAGATTTAAGAACTGAAGACAATGTTGTGAATATTTAATAGCGCCACCTCGGTTTTTTATGAAACTCAAATGAAAAACCCTCATATTTTTTATTAAATAATTTTGCGAATTCCTAGATAACACGATGATGCTAGACTTCGAACTCAGGTAGGTAATTACTCAATAATGCTCTATTATTATTAAACATAAGAATCATGTGAGTAAGGTAGTCAACATTACAAAGCTTACTTTTTCTTCCATTTAACCCAGCAGTTGATACTTGACTGTAATACTGATAACTTGTAATAAACCCTGACAGTTGTTCACTAGTTCACATCATACTAACTGCTGTTCATTAAATTTGATAGTTAACGTCTGAACAGCTACTGACTACTGTGAGTTAAGTAGTAATAACAGTTGACCAAAGGAAGCTGCCTAAAAGTTAACCCAGTAAATAATGCATCCATACCATTATGACTAGGAGTGTGAAATACTGATAACGATTGTAACGCATACATTGGTTCGACGAAAGAATGTGTTTTTGAAATAAATAAATTTTATATACATATAAAAAGAACAGCACGAAATCAACCACGACAATAACAACATCCATTACACAGAGAGAGAGAAGTTTTCCTGTCACGTGTCAAATAACCGTAAGAAAAGGACCCCGGCTTACTTATCAGCTACAGACTCGCTCTACTGTTGAAAGCTAAATGTCCTCATAAGGTTTAATTGGCAACGTGTGGTTACTACCAATTAAAACCCCACCAGATCACGTTATAGAATGTCATTATCAATTACGCCCCCTAGGTAATTAAAAGAACAACAAAGTTTCAGATAGGTTCTTAGAAACTATTATTTTATATATATATAAAATACACAGAATTTTCGAAATGAAATGAATTCAAAACGGAGAAAAAATCAACAAAATATGCAAGTTTAAATTAAAATATTTCGAGCCTAAACAGAGAAGAAATATGAGAATATGTTCATTACGATCTTGCATGCAAACAAGTCTTAGAAATCAAAATAGACAAGAATCAGAAGTAGATCACGAAAAGCGACACCTACGAACATCACCACCAATTTTACACACAAGTCAATAATGATTTTCTAATATTCATCAAAATAATATTTTACTTGTTTTTCTAATATTATTAAACATTCTTTAGTTGTACTTGTCTTTTGATATGTTCCTGTGTATTTTAGGCTTACTTCGATCTCCAAGCTTCTAACGAAATTTCTAAGAAAACAAAAACAAAACGTGTGTTAAGGATGTGACAATCCAAGAACTCATCACGTTTAAAAACCATTCGTTCGTCTTCAGCAAAACAGAAGAAGCTGATTATTACAATACAATGTTAAGCCTAAAATAATCATTGTTCTAAGTTAAGTTCGTAACAGCATCTTAAGCCTAAAATATATATTGTTCAAAGCTAGTCACAGCATCTTTAGTCCTAAACTAAACATTGTTCCAAGTTAATAAATATATTGTTAAGCCTAAACTCTGGTGTTCCAAGCAATGATTACAGTATAAGTATCAATGGTTTTAAGTCATCTCATCCTTGTCTCGTTTAAACCATACCCTTCAGTGAAGGTTTGGTTTGTTTATTGTTAAGTCCAAAGCTACACAATGGGCTATCTGTGTTCTGCCCACCGCGGATATCGAAATCCGATTTTTAGTGTTATAGCTCATCAGACTTCCAGCTGAGCCACCCAGGTTCTGCTGTGAAGGATTCACGCGAGAGGCTGGTTTGGACGAGATTACTCCTACCCTAAATCATGGTCGCCACATCTCATCAGTTCTTTCACACATATATGTCACATTAGATAATCTAAATTGTTAAAAGTCTTCGTTATTCGATTCTTCTAAACAAATTAAACCTAGGTCTGCAGCTGATTACTGTAAACATCAGCATTTTTATACAAAATAAACTTCATTCAAATAAATACTAAACAATTATTACACCTTGTAGACGTCATAATCTCGTGGCCTGAAGCAGCCAGATTTCCAGAAGTGTTAACTAAACTGTTCCAATCTGTCAACTCGATATAGCCATTCCCATTTTACAAGTCATGTTTGAGAAACATTTATTTTATATACAACTCTAACTTTACCAAGGCTGGGGTTTAAAGCATACATAAAAAGTGTTTTAATACATATTTTTTATTTAGATTTAAGAACTGAAGACAATGTTGTGAATATTTAATAGCGCCACCTCGGTTTTTAATACATTTACTAACTTTGTAATGTTGACTACCTTACTCACATGATTCTTATG